CACTGGCCGGCAGATGGAATTCGGAGGAGGCCTAGTCTGTGGGATCTAATTGGTCTAGTGGAGGTAATTGGCAGCACTCTCACTTTCAGCTTTAGGCTTAACTGCATTGAAACGCACAGGGACAGTTTTCCATATGCTGTCCAGTGAGCAGTTTAACGTGGCATCGTTGCAGCCAATCGAAGTAGATCACAGAAGTGCATCGTGAGGCTTTCAAGTTAACTGGTTCTACAAACAGGTTCCAGCACTGAGCAGAATTTGGTTAGTCCTTCACTGGGAGGCCATGAAGGTTGTAGCTGAACTGGAAAGAAAACAATAGCAAAGTTTCCGCATTGTGCCAAATAATCCCACATGGCTGTTGTAACCAGTGACTGAGATTGACAGGAGGGAGACATTAACTAAAAACACCACAAGTTGGAAATCACTGGAAAACTTTGGCATTGTACCCCTGGCTCCATTCAAGGTGTTTCTGTCCAAGAGGAATGAAAGATGTACCTTGCTTAATCTGGATATAAAAAAATCCAAATATCACTCACTCATCATGAAATCTCCAGACGTGCAAAGCCTACAAACCTGAAATTCTGCATGTATGTTCTTCTTGGCTTCTAGGTGCTCACTAAGAAAGGATTTTTTGAAATGACCATCACATCATCAGTATTTCTTATCTGCCAGCTTCCTTATAGTAACACGCTCTGATGCTACCCCCTTCGCTAAACTGGGTGTGGCCGTGGCCAGTACGTGACTCATCCAGCCTGCAAGCTGGGAGTTTAGACATTCTACTCCCCCTCCCCACCTGAAAAGAACCCTGTTCCAACTACCAGTCGCCTCACATTCCATTACCTTCACTCAGGAGCGGCCTGGGGCTCCTTACAGTTTCTTAGCGAAGCACGGGTATCCAGCTAGTACTGTATATGAGACTTTATAGTGCAAGATATCATGCAGGCCCCTAGAATGGGTTAATTCAATAACCAGGTCAAGACCATTGTGTAGATGCAGCCTGTATTTTGGTGACTGTTGTGGAGCCGGTGACTGAAGGGGAGGGACCCCTGCCAGTGAGAGTAAAGAAACATTCCAGCTTAGAGTCTGTTTGAGGGAGGAAGGTCTAAGATCAAACCTTCCTTTCCCACAGTGTGGAGAGGTCTTATTTTAGGTTGCAAAACTAAGAGCCGCGGTGGTGCAGTGGTTAGAGTCCAGTACTGCAGGCCACTTCTGCTGATCACCAGCTGCCAGCAGTTTGGCAGATCGAATCTCACCAGGCTCAAGGTTGACTCAGGCTTCCATCCTTCCGTGGTGGGTAAAATGAGGACCCAGGTTGTTGGGGGCAAGAGGCTGACTCTGCAAACCGCTTAGAGAGGGCTGTGAAGCACTGTAAAGCAGTATTTAAGTAAGTGCTATCGCTAAACATCCAATCATAGCGTCCTTCAGACCAAAAAATGTTTTCCTAATCCTGCCTTCTTCTATATGAATGGTGCCTTTTATTTAGGATCTTATTCAGAGACAACTGTGCTTTGTTCCAGCTGTGCTTGGGTATAAATAACACAATAATGTCCAAACTTTCCCAGTCCTGATTTTGACCTTCCTCTTATTTCATTCGATAGAGAGCGATCCGTGTCCGCAGCCACTCCATGGAGACCATGGTTGGAAGCCAAAAGAAGCACCAGCCTGGAGGAATCCCTGGGAGCTTGAGTGGCGGGATTGTGCACAACAGTGTCGAAATAACCAAGACCACCTTCTCTGTAAGTGCCATGCAATTTAGAACAATTTAGCTCAGTCCAAAAGAAGGGAAGGGGACATGATGGCTCAGTGGTTAAAGTCGCTGAGCTTGTCAGCTGAAGCTGACAGCCTGGGTTGGAGACCCGAGCGCTGCATGGTGGGGTGAGCTCTTGTTACTTGCCTCACCTCTTGCCAACTTAGAAGTTTGAAAACATGCATACACAAGTAGATAAATAGGTACCACTTTAGTACCTCTCTCCATAATTTAGCTGTTAAGATGCTGGGCTTGTTGACCGGTAGGTTGGCAGTTTGAGATCCCAGCGCTGCTTGATGGGATGAGCTACTGTAGTTGCTCCTGCTCCTGCTGAAAAGCATGCAAATGCGAGTAGATAAATAGGTACCACTTCAGTGGGAAGGTAACACTGTTTTATGCACCTTGGGATATAGTCATGCTTAGGGGTGAGAATGAAATTTTTTAGCAACCGGTTCACTACCCAGTTTCTGGGTGGGTGTGGCCATGGGTGTGTGGCCTATTTGGTCTCCTGCACCATGGCGGGGAGGGGGGGCCTTTTTGCCCTCCCCAGGCTCCAGAGCTTTTCCTTAAGCCTCTGGGATGATGAAAATGGCCTCCCCCAGGCTCCGGAGGCCCTCAGGAGGCTGGAAACAGGTCCATTTCTGAACTTCCGGGAGGCCTTTCTTCAAGCCTCCGGGAGGGTGAAAATGGCCTTCCCCGGGCTCTGGAGCCCCTCTGAAGGCTGGAAACAGGCTGGAACTTCTGGGAGGCCCGTTTGTACCCTCTCAGAGCCTCTGTGCAGGACCTGCATTTACCTAGCATGATGAATGGGCCACGTGGATACTCCTGGGAGGGGTGGGGTGATCAGGGCCAGCCAGGCCTACCAACTACTGGTTCAGCGAACCAGAAATTAGCATCTGTTTCACTTGAACCGGTCCAAACCGGCTGAATCCCACCCCTGGTAATGCTTGCCATATGACCACAGAAGTGTCATTTGGACAATGCTGGCTCCCTTGGGCAGGAAACGGAGATGAGCACCATCCCCCTCGAGTCAGACTCAACTGGATAGAGGAAACCTCTACCTGAAAAGCATCCCATCTTCATTAGCCTTCCCGGAGATTGAAGAAGGGGAAGGGGAATTCTATGAATTTAGGCCAAAAAGAAAAAAAAAAGGCTGTGCTTAGCATTGATTGGCTTTGGCCTGTGACATTTCAAACACTACTTCTTTCTTTGTTTTAAATCTTGATTCCTTTTCAAAAGCAAATATCTTGATTGCTCAACTCCATGAATTCTCCACATGCCTTTCCCTTTCTGTACAGATAAACACAGTATGATCTCTGTCTCAAGGTCCTTACAGACTGAAAGGTGACATTTAATTATAGGGAGAAAGAGACCAAATTAAATGGAAGGATGTATACGAGTAGAATTTAAGAAAATACAGTGTACAAGATAGTCCTCGACTTACAACCACAGTGAAGCCCAACATTTCGGTTGCTAAGCAGCTGTTAAGTGAATTTTGCCCCATTTTATGACCTTTCTTGCCACAGATGTTCAGCGAATCCCTGGAGTTGTCAAGTTAGTAACACAGTTGTTAGGCGAATTTGGCTTCCCCATTGACTGCTTGCAGGGGTGGATCCGGCAGTTGTTACCGCCAGTTTGTTCATGGCTGGGCCGCGCGCATGCTTCATGTGCACATGCTTGATGCGCGCTGTGTGTGCATGCACAGTGCAATAAAAATTGCTCTGTGCATGTGCAGAAGCAAAAAACAAGATGGCGGTGCCTACAGCGCTACCAGGAGAACCGGTTTGGGGGCGTGGCAGGCCTGCCGGTTGCGGCGAACCAGTCCGCCAAACCACGACCGATTCAGCTGAACTGTTCCAAACTGGTAGGAACCCACCACTGACTGCTTGTCAGAAGGTTGCAAAAGGGGATTCACATGACCATGGGACACTGTAACCATCATAAATATGAGCCAGTTGCCTGGTGTTCAACATTTGACCATGGGGATGCTGGAAAAACTGTGAAAAACAGCCATGCCACTTTTTTCAGTGCCTTCGTAACCTAGAACAGTCACTAGACGGAAGGTTGAAAGTTAAGGACTACTTGTAGAGTTGCAGTTGAGATGTTGAATGTGGATGAGTTATCTAGGTTCAAGCTGTCATTTAATTACGGCAGCTTTGGATTCTCTCTCAGCTCAGTTTTCCTCACAAGGATTCTGCTTCTTGTGCTGCAGAATAGAATGAACTGAGATTTCTTCCAGGCAAGAAAACGTGCTAGGTAAATGATTTGCTAAGCCTGTTTTACACAGATCCATTGGGATCCACTGTTTCTCTCTTCAGCCTCCGTTAGCAGCAGCAACAGCCAAGAATCAATCGAGGAGTCCTATAAAGAGACGATCGGGCTTATTCCCCCGTCTGCACACCGGATCCGAAAGCCAAGCAGAACCCCGGAGCCGATGGTAATTCCATAAATGTGTGTTTATACATGTGGTGCCTTGTATTGGGACTTTGGGAAGTTTTTGGCTAGAGAAATCGCAGCTTCGGGGGAGAAACATGATTGTGTTGTAAAGAATCGTGCATCATCAACAACAACATTTAACGACCCCATAATCCAGTGATGGCGAATCTTTTTAGCACTAAGGGCCCAAACCAGAATGCACATGCAAGTGCTTGCACATGCGCATGCCAGAGCACCAGAAACGCGAAGACCAGCTGGCCAGCGTGTGCATCCCTGCTTTTTGGGCATTCTTTGGACCATTTTTAGGCCAAAAATGGCCTGAAAACGCCCCAAAAAACTGCCTGAAAAATGGCCCGGAAACGGCCTGGAAAACAGCCTGGTTTTTAGCTGTTTTCAGGCTGTTTTCCAGCGCTTTGGTGCCCTCAAAGAACAGCTGACCAGAAACCAGAAGAGCATCTGTGCGTGCCCACAGAGAAGGCTCTGCATGCCACCTCTGGCCCGTGTGCCATGGGTTCACCATCACAGCCATAATCCCTTGTGGGGTGGAGTCTGGGCAACTGAATGGGTCTGGCACAGCAGAGTTAGATGCCCTTCCTGTCACCAATGATCACAATTTACGATCACAATTTAGCCCCAAATTTCCGGTGTTAAGAAGATAGTCGTTAAGTGGGCTTTGCCCCATTTTACGACCTTTCTTGCCATAATTGCTAAATGAATCACAGCAGTTGTTAAATTAGTAAACGTGGTTGTTCAGGGAATCTAGCTTCCCCATGGACTTTGCTTGTTAGAAGGTCGCAAAAAGCAACCACCCAATCATGGGATACTGCAACTCTCTTAAATATGAATCTGTTGCTAGTCATCTAAATTTAGAATTAGAATAGAATAGAGCTGGAAGGAACCTTGGAGGTCTTCTAGTCCAGCTCTCTGCTCAAGCAGGAGAACCATTTCAGACAAGTGGCTGTTCAGTCTCTTCTTAAAAACATCCAGTGATGGAGCACCCATGCTTTCTGAAGGCAAGCTTCTCCATTGGTTTATTGTCCTTGCTGTCAGGAAGTTTCTCCTTAATTCCAGGTTGCTTCCCTCTTTGGTTAGTTTCCATCCATTTTTTCTTATCTTGCCTTCTGGGACTTTAGAGAATAATAGCAATAGCAATAGCAGTTAGACTTATATACCGCTTCATAGGGCTTTCAGCCCTCTCTAAGCGGTTTACAGAGTCAGCATATCGC